TGTGCATCCACAATAGTAGGAGGTATGGAAGTGTCATCATATTGTGTTGCCGCAACCGGCTCAACCTCTCTAACTAAGTCAGCACCCAGAGGAGGAACTGCAACTGGTGTACTCTGACGCGGGGCAGCGGGGTTTGTATCATCATGGATAAGCTGAACATCCCCAGTCTTGGTCACCTCGACCAATTTATCACAGTGCCATATTGGCATAGTAGACTCTCTACACAAATGGAAAATCAGGCATGGGAAGGGTATAGTCGTATTCCTCCGAAAGGCCTTCTCATGAATCTTAACAAGAATGATCCAGGTAAAATTGACCTCTAGCCCCGCCAATAGTGCAACTTGCATCACCGCCCGATCCCAAGTAACAACATTTTTGTCAAAAGCCGACACTCCTCAGTAATCGGACAGGCTACCTTTTTGTGCTTATTCAGGGCCTTTTCGTCAATGTAAATCTGATACTGCCCCTCAACACACCACCTGTTCGGCTCTGTGGCACTGTGAACCAGCTCAACTCTGGGGTCCTGAGCATTCCCCGTGCTAGTGGCATCGGAGGAAGAAATAGAAGTACTACTGGAACTGGAGCCAGAATGTAACTCTTCTGCAGGTGAATCCCCCTCCTCGGACTGGGGGACAGTGACCTCGACCCCGTCACTCGATGATATAACCTGCTTGGCCCTGTTCCTCATAGTCGGGGGGCAGTATGGGAGCATCTGGTGGTATCCGGGACATACTCGTCCCCATTAGACTTATCGAGCAGACGTCGATACGGGGCGACAAACTTAGACTTGCCCTCACTTGCGTACTTAGGTGTTTGTTTTGGTGCCATGGTACCTTTGGAAGCTTAGTTAGTATTTACATAAGGCAAAAAAACCCAAGAAAATATTTTAGAACACCATTTGGACTTAGACAAAAATATTAAAAAGTTTTGAGCAGTAGCTGTTTTTGTGACCTACATTGAGTACCTACGAACCGTCGATCAAACGACGGACCGTGGATCCCCTTCGTAGGTCAGGAAGTCCATTATTGAGTTTCTGATGGGGAACCACGGATGCGCAGAATGGTCCATCGATCAAACGATGGACTGTAGTCCACACCATGGTTCATGACTTAGCCAATTTTTGTGTGCAGTTGATTTACGGACCACGACCTACGGTCCGTAAGTTGACCTACGGTCTGTGGGTTGAGGTCGTCGATCAGTGTTATGCAGGCTTTGTGATTCCACTTTCCAATTAACATAGTCAATACAATAATCAACACCTATATTATGTCCAAACATGCATTTCAACACATTACATGGTAGTTTATCGTTTCTAGGGTTTCAATCATTCAAATTTCACATTCAATCAAGTAAATATTGAAAAACCCTAAGTCAAGACACCCACTTAGACATCTAACCCACTTTGTTAAGTTCAATTACGCAACACACTCCAACTAGTCGTCCCAAGGGTAGTTTTAGAATTAGTTTACATCAAATTATCATGCAATGTCCTACCCAATGTGAAGTACAACTTTGTTGACTTCAATTTAAACAATGAACACAAATCAAAGTTTTGGTAAAGTATATTACCTTACAAGTAGAGCAAAGTGGAGGAGTGTGTCGGTTTCAATATCTTCTTAAGACCCCAAGCAAGCTCGACACCGAAACCGGACTAGAATGGTTTTTTCGAAGAGAGGAAAGTTGAAAAAAAACAATGGAAATGGGGGAAATGGGAGTAACAATGGAAAGGGAAGATTTTATGGATGTAATTTTGGGAGTTTGAGGGGTATTTTTGGGTGTAGGAACGGTTTGAAACAGTTGGGGGAATGAGGGAACTGGGATTAATTTAAAAGTGAAAGGTTTTTATTTTGGCAGGGGTCTGGGTCGGGTCGACTGTAACCCTAACTAGGACCCACGAAACCCCGTGGACGGTCTATGAGTCAATCAATGGTCCGTCGATGGGTTCCGTGGTTCATTCTTACACTAAGTGAAATTTAGAGACATACCTGGGATATACGGATGCCAACCACGGTTTGTTGATGGAACGACGGATCGTGGATGGGAATCATAGACCATTACATCAGCTTAGATTCTGCAGATTTTTCCTTTTTTTCCTTGCACATGTAAAAAACATTAGGACTTCTTTTTTACATTTTCTGGACACTTTTTAGACACAGACCCTATTCTATCTTTATCTAGCCAACACTAAAACTAAAAATTAATAAACATCTATCTAAAAAAAGCTACAAATTTAAGAAAAACTCCCTATATCGAACAGAAAATTCATATAGTTGGCTACATTATACATCTTAGGTTGCCTCCCAAGTAGCACTTGATTTAACGTTGCGACACGAAGCAAACACCTTGATTACTCAGACTTCATCAAGATCTCACTCCTCTATAACCTCATTGAAAGTCTTCGATTGCCCCAAGTAGATCTTTATCCTTTGACCATTCACCTTGAACTTCATTCCTTCCTTGTTCTCTAGTTCAACCGCCCCATGTTGAAATACTTGGGTTATTGTGAATGGTCCGGTCCACTTAGACTTGAGTTTGCCAGGAAAGAAGTGCAACCTTGAATTAAATAATAGCACCTGATCACCGAAAACAAATTCCCTCTTTTAGATCTTCTGATCATTTCTTCATCTTCTCTTTGTATAAGGCTGAACGTTCATATGATTTTAGGCGAAACTTATCAAGCTCATTCATCTCATTCGTTCTTTGACTCGATGTGGCGCCCCAATCCAAATTCAACTTCTTTAGTGCCCACATCACTTTATGCTCTAGCTCTACAGGAAAATGACAAGACTTCCCATTTACAAGTTGGTAGGAGACATACCTATGAGAGTTTTAAATGCGGTGCGATAAGCCCATAGAGCATCATCAAGCCTCCTTGACCAATCAGTTTTGTTATCATTTACGATCTTTGCAAGAATTTACTTTATCTTGTGATTTGACACTTTAACTTGCCCACTTGACTATGACAAACACCATAATTCTCAAGCAACGTCTTGAACAACTTATTACAAAAGTGAGAACCTCCGTAGCTTATGATTGCCCTTGGTGTACCAAATCTGGAGAAGATATTCTTTTTTCAAGAATGCGGTGACACTCTTTCCCTCATTGTTTGAAAGTGCGAGTGCTTCCACCCATTTAGATACATAGTCAACCGCCACAAGAATGTACTTCATCCCATTCGAAGTCACAAATGGACCCATGAAGTCAACGCCCCAAACATCAAAAAGCTCAATCACCAGTATTGGGTTCATTGGTAGTTCTTGCTTTTTAGAAACTCCTCCTTCACGCTGGCAACGATCACAAGACTTAGCGAAATCATGAGCATCTTGGTGGATGGTGGGACAGTAATACCCACACTGCAAAATTTTATGGGCAGTTCGGATACCACTATGGTGCCCACCAACAGGCGATGAATGACACGCCTCTAGTATACTCATCATCTCAACCTCGGGCACAGAGCGATGAATAATCCCATCAGCACAAACACGAAACAAGTAAGTCTCATCCCAAAATAATTTCTTCACATCAGACATGAACTTTTTCCTTTAGTGGAATGATAAATCCGACGGAACCAAATCACTTGCCAAGTAGTTAGCAAAGTTTGCGAACCAAGGGATAAGATCATAAGAAGCAACCAATCATCAGGGAACACATCATTAATCTCGATTCCATCTTCTAGCTTAATCATAGCTTCATCCTCTAGTCTAGACAAGTGATCAGCAACCTGGTTTTTTGTTCCCTTTCTATCCTTTACCTCAAAATTGAACTCTTGTAGTAGAAGCACCTATCTAATCAATCTTGGTTTTGCATCCTTCTTAGCCATCAGATACCTCAATGCAGAATGGTCAATATGCATTATGGCCTTAGTACCAAGCAAGTAGGATCTAAATTTCTCGAATGCAAAAACCACAGCAAGGAGTTTTGTTCAGTCACAATATAGTTTTTTTTAGCCATATTTAGAGCTTTGTTGGCATAGTAAATTGGATGAAGAATTTTATCTCGCCTCTGTCCTAATACTACACCAAACGCCACCCCACTTGCATCACACATCACTTCAAACGTTTGCCCCCAATCCTGTTAAATAATGATAGGTGCCAAAGTTAACTTTTCTTTTACACTCCTTTTCAAGTAGCTTGCATAATGGGTGTGCAATTTTAGAGAAATCTTTTATGAACCTCCGATAGAAACCAGCATGCCCAAGAAAACTTCGAACACCTTTTACAGAGATAGGTGGTGGAAGCTTTTCTATTACCTCAACTTTAGCTCTATCAACCTTAATACCTTTCTACGAAATCCAATGACCCAGAACTATACCCTATTTCCCACGAAGTGGCACTTTTTCTAATTGAGCACGAGATTGCACTCTTCACATCGTTTTAGTACCTAAGCCAAATGTGTCAAACAGTCATCAAACGAGTCACCTACCACATAGAAATCATCCATAAATACCTCTATCGTTTCCTCCACAATATCTGAAAATATCGACATCATAACCCAAATAGCATCCTTTTGAAGGCGAAAGTCCCATAAGGGCAAGTGAATTTGGTTTTCTCTTGGTCTTCCGAAGCTATGGATATTTGATTGTAGCCCGAATACCTATCTAGAAAACAATACCAACCCTTACTAGTGAGACGATCAAGCATCTGATCCATGAACGACATTGGGAAATGGTCTTTCTCAGTCAATGCATTTAACTTGTGGTAGTCCATACACACTTTCCAACCAGTCACCAACCTCATTGGAACAAGCTCATTTTTAGCATTGGGAACCACATTGATTCCTCTTTTCTTTGGCACACACTGAACTGGGCAAACCCAACTATTATCAGCAATAGGATATATAACTCCAGTATCTAACCACATAATGATCTCCTTTTTCACAACCTCTTGCATAGGGGGATTCAGTCTCTTTTGATCCTTAATACTTGGCTTGTTGTCTGGCATGAGTTGAATTTTGTGAGAACAAATGCCCAGAGGAATCTCAATAATGTCCGCAATAGTTCATCATATATCCCTCTTAAACCGCTTCAACACCGATACCAAGGTCTTTATTTGCCTTTCACTCAAGTCAGCAGCAATGATTACGGGCAAAATGATATTTTGTCCTAAGAATACGTACCGCAAGTGGGATGGAAAAACCTTAAGTTCCAATTTTGGAGACTCATCAACAGATAGTTTTACAGGTAGGGTGTCTCGATTCTTCGTGTCTAATTCCAACCGTTTTGGCTTGAAATGAAACTCGAACCTATCAAGTGCAGCAACTAGCTCATCATAGTCATCAATACCATCACTATCAAAATTTATCGTCACCGCTGCTGGTGCATCAACACCTAACCTCTCTTTAATGGACACTTCAGATTCTTGCTCCACAATATGATTCACCACTGATACCAACTTAAGATCACTTTCATGCTTCATAAACCTATAGATGTTAAAAGTTACCTCATCATTGTTTAATCGAAACTTCATCTGCCCTCTTTCCATATCTTCCAACGCACGCCCAGTAGCAAGAAATGGTCTACTTAAGATGATGGGAACCTTAAAATCAACCTCACAATCTAATATCACAAAGTCCGTCGAAAAGATGAATGACTCCACTTTCACAAGGACATCTTGGAGCACTCCAATGGGCCTATTCACAGTTCTATCAGCCATAAATAAATGCATTACAGTCGACTTTGGAGCTCCTAAACCCAACTTCTTATAAATCAACAATGGCATCAAATTAATGTTAGCACCCAAGTCACACAAAGTTTTCGCAAAGTGTAATATCCCAATGGTACAAGGAATAGTGAAAGCTCCACGATCTTTTTTCTTCTGCACAAGTGACCTAGTAACAATATCACTACAATGTTGCAACTTCTCTTCATTCTCAAAACTGACATCCCTCTTTTTGGTCACCAAGTCTTTCATGAATTTCGCATACCCATGCATATGCTCTAAAGCTTCAATCAAAGGAACATTTATGGATAGTTGATTCAACATAGCGATGAACCTATGATATTTTCCCTCTTCAGTCTTTTTCACCAACCTTTGCCGGAAGGGATGTGAAGGTCTAGGAATGGGAACAACTTTTTGGGTCACCTCAGCTTCTTTTTCTGCATCATTTTTCAGATTTTCAGAAACCTTAATCTCATCCGCACCATTTTCTATCATTCTTTCGACCTCAGACGGCATGGGGGGATCTATAGTTTGCTTTCCTCCACGTGTAGTGACTGTCATACAATGCCCATCATTTTTCGAATTTTGGATGGTATTGCTAGGAAGTGTGCCTAGCTGGCGCGGGTTCACAGTAGTAGAGAACTGACTAAACTGCTGCTCAAGTTGCTTGATTGACACTGCATGGGCATCAACTTTCTGACCAATTCCAAATAAATCATTACGAATCTCTTTCACATTTTCATCTGTCGAATCAAATCTCTTCATCATTTTTTGCATCATATCTTCAATGCGAGTCATACTTCTACCAACCTCTCTATTACCAGATGGAACATAAGGCCCAACCTTATCATTCTTGTTGCCATAGTTGTTTCGGTTATAATTTTTATCACAATTGTAGTTCCCATCCCGTACATAGTTTCCCTCGCGGTTGTAGTCGCCATAGTTCCGACCTTGGTTTCCTTGACCTTGGAACCAATTATCCGAGTTAGAACCCTGGGCGTTGGTTCGAAAACCCCCTGTCTCATCATTCTTCAAATTTGCATCCTCCTCATAGTAATACTCTTCAACTGGCGGTGGTGGAGTTCTAGTTAGATAATTTATTGCATTCACTTTTTCTGCACTTCCACTCACATGCTTTAATACCAAGCCAATTTCTATCCTCATTTGAGCCATCTCTTCACGAATATCATCATTTGATTGACTTGGTGCAGCTTGGACAGAAAAAGTTCTTCTACCAGTATTTGCCTTCCTAGTGCTCCATTCTTTATTGTTCTGGGAGATCCTCTCAAGTTTTTCAGCAATCTCCTCAAAAGTGCACTCACCATAAGATCCTTCATCAATAGTATCTAATACAGCCTTTCCATTGTCATTATGTCCTCTGTAGAACTACTCCTTCAGTGACTCATCATCTATGTGGGATTCAGAACACTCATCATGAATCCAGTGAACCTATCACATGAACTGCTTACCGACTGTCCAGGTAGTGCTGTGAAATTATTCAGTTTATCGTTGTAATTCAACTTCTTGGACATCGGAAAGTACTTCGCCATGAACACTTTGTGTAGTTGGTTCCATGTATATATTTAATTGTATGGCAGCTCAGAAAACCACACAACATCATCACCAGTCAATGAAAGTGGGAATACGCTCAAACCTGTAATGTTCATATCCAAGTTTAGTCATCCCACAATACTCTTACAGACACTTGTCAATTTAGCCATGTGAGTGTATGGATCTTCCGACACTAATCCAGCGAACAACCCTCTTGCTGTAAGCATTTTCATAAGACTGTTGGTCACCATAAATATATGTCCCGCAGGTAGTGGAGGGAGAACAATAGGCCCATTTGATCCAGCCTCGTCATAGTCAACCTTGTAGTTATCACGAACCCTCGGTGTTGGAGGATTCTGCACCCTTTCTGCATTTTCGATTAGATGACCACCTTGAACCTAAGCGGGCACATTAACAACTCCAGGAGGTTGAAACCCAGCTCCCTCTTCTTGACCCTCTTTGATAGGATCATTTTGTACCCCCAAGATTTATGCCTCTTCCAACCATTCTTCTCAAAGTTCTCCTTAATTTCGAATCGTACGACATCAGGGATTTCCTTGACTCTGTGTACTTGGCATCCACTAGAGTTGAGACCTGTAGAAAACAAAAATAAAACAAAAAACGTAAAATCAGGAAATACTTGATTAAAGTTCAATAATATAGTTAATTTAATCTAAAAGTTGTATTCCCCGGCAGCGATGCCAAAATTTGATACACTTAAATTACATTTTCCAAAAGAAATTTAAGCAGTCCTTGCCAAATAAAGAACCCAACTTGTAGGTTCAGGTCGATCCCACGAGGAATATGGTTTAGACTTAAACTTAACTCACAATTATCTCTTTTTAGTCAAACTATTTCCAAGGAAAGTAAACAAAGGGGGGGTTTTGTAAATAAAAATAACAATTTATTGATTTAAATTAATACGCAACAAGTAAACAAGATTCAGAGTTGAGATATCAATATAAGATGAAAACTAGGGTATATGTGTTCCCCACAAGCTCTTAACGCAGTATTCCTAATAATAGTAATTTCATCCTAGTGTTTGACATGTAAGGCTGATAAGTTAGGTATCCCTAAGTGATTGGTAATCCAAGTAGTAACTTTCACTCGCAACTTGGTAAGTCTACGGGTGTGTGCTTTAGTAACCCTTACCTTTACCTCAGATTAGTCCTCATGTCAATTGATTTGGATATTCACCCTCACGTCAACTAGTTAAAGTCAGACTATTAGATAGTAGCAAATCCTTAACTAAATCTCCGTTGTTTAATCCTTTTTCTCATTCATTACCCCCTAAGTAAGGCAAGTAGGAATGAGGCGAGTTCTAACGTTGCACCGCTAGAAAAACTTTAAACGAAAAGATTAACAATACATGCATAAACACTATTCAAGAATTACTTATTTATTAGTCATACGTTGTTAATTGCTCATAGTTCCCACAACCCTAGTTGTGGATTTAGGTAGTCATGCTTGAGAATTCACATTCATGTTTGGGTTACTAAAAGAAATCATGAACTTACAATTAGAATAGATGAAAACCGAAATCCTGAATTGAAATTCAAAGTGCAAATTGCATAAATTAGCTTCCGGAATTAAAGTACCAAAGTGTTTGCAAAGTAATTCCAAAAACCCAAAAATAAAAGTCTCCAATATTTTCTAACTCCCAAAAACCGAAATAACAACTAGTATTTATAGAAACTAAATCCTAAACAAAGCAGGAAAACTGGATTAGACGCGATTTTGATCGACGACACGACCTACAGACCGTGGATCAGCCTACGATCCGTGGTTCACCTCCGTGGTTCAGCACTTAGAAACTATTTTAGGACCTTCAAACGATGGTCCCACCTACGGTCTGTGGATATGACTACGGTCCGTCCTGTCCCTCCGTGGTTCAAGTACTGGAAGTCAACTCTCTGATCAGAAACGACTGTCGTGTAGGACAGTCTGTCATTCACTCTACGGGGCGTCGTTTGCCTCTGTGGTTCCACACTTGGTCAGACTTTCTTGAACTCACATCCACGCCTCAGCACCTACGACCCGTCAATGGACCTACGGTCCGTGGTTTAGCTTTGTTGACTGCTATTGCTGCCACTTCAGTTCTTTTCTCTCTCAACCCCTTTCGAACCAAATTCCTGCAAATATTACATAAAACCCATTATATCTAATAACAAAACAGCCAAAGACTCACACAAACTCTAAGTGAAATGCATCAAAAATACCGTAAACTCACAGTATATTAGTCACCCAATGTTTTTCGCAATGTTTTTAGTAACGAGTTGTTAGACTTTCGGAGTTTATGGGGACTCCACTTTATTTCCGCATTTAAATCTACTTCTGTATCTTTAAATGTTTAGTTCTTGAGTTAACTGAGTTGTATTAATGGTTCTCCCACCGAAGGGTTAGTGTGGGTGTCAATCACGACGGTCTAGGTCGTGACATTTCCGCTTGGAAATTATACAACCACCGAACCTTCTGTATCATGATTCGATCTATGCCTACATTTTTATTTATTAGAATTTTTTCTAGTATTACTTACATGCCTGCATTTTTTGGATTGTATTGGAGCACTTGATGGCACACATATTAAAACAAGATTGACACAAGGTCAACAAATACCTTATATTGGACGCAAAGGTTAATCTGACTCAAAATATTTTCATAGTTGTGAATTTTAATATGTGTTTTACATTTGCATGAGTTGGGTGGAAAGGAGCAGCTCATGATAGTCATATATTTGGTGAGACCCTTCATAGGAGTGAACTCAACTTTCCACATTCTTTAGAAAACACATATTATTTAGTGGATGCAGGATTTGCACACATGAAGGATATATGGCTTCATACAAAGGAGATAATGTGAGATTTCATCTTCCTGACTTTTGTTGTGGTGCAACAAGACAATTGCACGAGTCGAGAGGACGCATTGAAAAAATTAACTATATGCATTCTTCATGTAGAAATATAGAAGAGCGCACATTTGGTGTTTGAAAATTAAGGTAGTCTGTATTGCGAGATATGTTTTACTATAACATTGACATCAAAGGAACATTACACTTGCTATTATGGCCATTCACAATTATATTTTTAAATAGCAATATGGATGATACATTTCAAAAGGCTGAGGATGAGAGATATATTTAATCGATGGACTTCGAATTTGGCACAAGTTCAAACACTAATAATATAGAAAAAATATGAAAGAACAAAGTGATACGCATTGAATGAGTCTTCGTGATATGATTGTTAATGAAATTTGTAATGCTTGATGTATGTACTACTTGAGTATTTCCACTTTTGTATTAGTAAAAGGTTCTCTATCATTCTGATATATATTATCCTTATTTCTCTAATAAATAATTTGTGATGGTAAAGAAATATGTGAAGGATAGGCAAATATTATTACTTATGGATGTAACTAAAAATAAATCTTAAATCTTTCATGTGATCTATTCAAACTATATATTTTTAAAATTTAAAATAAATTGTGCATATAAAATTAACCTAAATAATATGTTATTGTAATTGAATTAAAATATAAATTAATTTTGTTTTAATTTTTTTTTAAAATAATAACTTTAAATTAATCAACTTTTTATAATGTATTTCAGATATTTTAATTTTAAAAAAGTTTAACGACACTTATTTGTTAAACACATTAACAATTTTTTTTTAATTGCAATACTTTTATCTAAATACGTAAGTAAATTTTTTTAAAGTCAATTCAAAGGAGACTTTCTACTCGTTCCTAACTTCCTACCTTCTTTTGATCATTTTTGTCATTACGCCGTTGATAGTTAATTTAGACACGACTGCATGATGGATATGGCACACACTCCCATGGCAATTTCTTAACATATACCCATCATTTCCATTAAACAGCCATTACATACCTGATACATTTGATTTGAGATCGAGTAGAATCAATAACATGGAGAAATCATCACCGGAAAACCTTATACTGGTTACTCACGAACCCGGCGGGGTTGCGTGTATCACAATCAACCGACCAAACTCCCTGAATTCTCTCACCAAGTCAATGATGACCGATCTTGCTCGAATTTTCAAGTCTCTGGACGCAGATGATTCGGTTCGGGTCATTATACTCACCGGATCGGGTCGATCGTTCTGCTCCGGTATTGACCTGACGGCGGCGGAGGACGTGTTTAAGGGTGACTTCAGGGATATGGAGATTGATCCGGTGTTCCAAATGGAGCGATGTAGGAAGCCAATTATTGGGGCTGTTGCTGGATTTGCTGTTACTGGCGGTTTTGAGATTTCTCTCGCTTGTGATATCTTGGTTGCCTCCAAAGATGCTAAATTTTTGGATACTCATGCTAGGTTTGTCTTTATTTCATCCGAATTCATCTTTTGCTCTCACGATATCTACAGTAATTATGTATTTGGGTATTTCTATTTATGCTTCCACTTTATTGATGAAGAAAACATATGATCAAATTTTCGAGGTTCTTGGATAGTTGTACTGTTGAAACTGGATGGTGTTGATTCCTAGGATTTGAGCTTTCTAAAGATGTGTGGTTATGTGTATGTTGTGATGTTAGGGTTGATTGAAGAAAAAATATAACAATTCTTTTAAGATTTATTTGGATAATCGTACGGTTGAAGCTAGATGGTTTTGATTTTTAAGATTTGAGCTCTATTACCTAGTCATGGTATATTGGAGGTATTGATATTGATTTTAGCTTGACTCTTAGCTAGTAAACTTTTCAAGGCGAGTAGGCTCAATGAATATCTCCCTACTGTGCATCTCAATTCTTATGTGTCAATAAAACTAGTCCAGCTCTCCTATCCAAAAAAAAAAAGATGCAACATCCTCGTAGAGATATAGAGATTGTTTCTGGTAGCGCCACGGCTTAAAACAAAGCATATCCAAGCAGTTTGAAAAAAGGAATACAGAAATGAAAACAATAAGGAAATCATGTGAAATAAAGAGCAGTACATGACATAGGGAGGAATGAAGAATCTACAAGAATAGTGCTATT